GGAAAAATATCCTCAGGTGAGGATTAACAAGAAAAAGAAATAATAATAAACATGAAACTGGGCACATATATAAGGACATGTATTTAGGTGTTGGATACTCGCATGGTGAGCCCATATTCGATTGCACTCTGACTGGGGACAGTTCCCTGACCACGGCACAGCAGGAGGGGTCCACACAGAGCAGGTGTTCTTGGGGAGGTGAGGGAGCGATTTTTAGAAGGTGAGCAACTGCACCTGCAGAACTTTGTCGTTGGAAAAAGAAACCATTCAGAGGGGAGCCCCAGGTCCGTGAATGGGAGCTTGGCTGCTCGGGTCCAGGCCGAGCCTCCCTGAAGTCTGTTGGACAACCGGTGAGCTGAGAGAAGACCAGCGATGCCAGTATCTGGGTGATGCTGGAGGAAGTTGGAGATCTGACCGCAGCAGAAATGAGCGTCCACATGAATACTTCTTCAATACTCCAGGCCTCCAGCTCAGACGCAAGAAAGGCTGCATTTTTGGGTAAGAAACATGACATGGACTAAGTTCTGGAGTAGCTCCATCCTAACCAAGCCTGAAATTATGGCTTGCAAACATTTTTAAAGGGAACAGTTTAGATGTGGGGCTTTACCAAGTTGTAACTTCTTTGGAGAAATTTTAGGCTTTCCATGCATTACAGCTTCGCACATTCAGGGCTACGTGAGCTCAGAATGAGTAGCCAGTAACTGAGGTGAAATCTGTGACGTACAAATCAGACCATATCTTGGCTGTTGCAGATGGTGCTGCAGGGACTGTGGGAGGGCAGCTGTCTCTTTAAGAAGGTGATGTCATTTGCTTTGGATGTAATGCAGGGTGGGATTGCTGGGTCATGTGTGGTTCTATTTTCGGTTTCTTGAGGAACCTCCATACTGTTTTCCATAATGGAAGTGTCCATCAACGGATAGATGGATAAAGAAATGTAGTATATATACACAATGGACTGTTACTCAGCCTTTAAAAAAGGAGAGAAATTCTGTCATTTGTGACAGCATGCATGGACCTTGAGGGCATTCAATGAAATAAGGCAGACAGAAAGACAAATGCTCTATTGTGTCACTTATATGTGGAAACTAAAAAAAAAAAAAATTATAAGTCATAGAAACAGAATGTATAATGGTGTTTGCCAGGGACTGGGGTAAGGAGACAGTTCAGATATAAGATAAATTTTGAGGATTTAATGTATAGTATGGTGACTATCATAATACTGTATTGAATAACTGGAATTTGCCAAGAGAATAGAACTTAAGCATTCTCACCAAAACAAAAACTTAAAAAGGTAAAAGGATAAACCATCCCTCCCGCCTCCCAAAATATGTTGATGTCCGGATCCCACCCCAGAACTCTGATGCAATTGATCTGGGTTGTGCCTTCGGCATAGGGGATTTTGACACGTCCCCAGTTGACTCCAATGTGTAGCCAAGTTTGAGACCTGCTGATAGAGAGTCATATTTGTAAATACTCAAAAGGCCACAACTCCATATGTAGCATAATACATTGTATTTTATATCAGTACTGATATTTTTCAAGTTTTTCCCATTAAAATACTCATAATGACTATCATTAAACTGCAGAGTATAATAGTTTTCTACGTCAGTGACATTGCCCGGAAAACTTGTTAAATATGCAGATGTTTAGACCTCCACCTTAGAAATTCTCATTTAGTACAGTTGTGGTAAACCCAGACATCTGCATTTCAAAGTGCTCCCGAGTGGCTCTTGTGCAAACTAAAGGTGAAGAGGGATTGCCTCGAAAAGATGCCTGAAAAAGTTCATACAGGCTCAGGTCATTCTAACAAGCAGCGTACCACCTGGTGACCGTGAACCAATGTAATAGCACAGACCGCAAAGTACAGAGAAAATACAGATTTCTAGTTTCTTTGTAAATTTTGAGCAGTTTTTGGAATGCACATTACATATTGATGATAATAAGAATTTTTGGAAAAAATGTACAAATTGTCCATGCAACATTTAATTTTCTAAAAAATATTTTTATTGATTTTGAGAGAGAGAGGAAGGGAGGAGAAACATCGATGTGAGAGAAACATCAATCAGCTGCATCCTGCACCGCACCCCCACCAGGGATGGAGCCCACTACCTGGGCATGTGCTTCAACCGGGAATCAAACCCTCAACCTTTCAGTGCATGGAACGATGCTCAACCAACTGAGCCACACCAGCCAGGCAGTGCAATATTTACTGATGTAAATGCATTAGTTTACCCTGTCAACCCTATGTAAAAATAGAAACAATATTAACTTAAATAAATCTATGAAGTGTAATTAGTTACAACATGTGAAATTACTCAGGACTGCTATTATGTAACAAAACATGTATAGACACACACCTAGAATACCTTTCATTTAGGTTAAAAAAAAAAATCAGTCCTTGATCCATTAATGTTTTAGAGGAATAGAAAATTTGAGGTATCCAGTTATGTTGGACAAATTTAAGAACACCCAGGATAACAAACTCTTTGAACTTTAGGACAAGCACACATTTTATTTTAAGGTTGAAAGACTCCTCTCTCTAGCTTAAACTTCCTTGGGAATTTAAGAAAACGAATTACTCAAACTGGAGCTACATCAAAATGTCAAGCTAACACATTTTGGCTTGGAATGGCGCCACGGGATCTAACGTTTCAATGATCAGGGCCTTAGGTTTTCAAATCATTGTAAAGGTGATGTCATTACTAGGATGCTTCGTTGAAGCTTTTTCCTCGGCTCTTTCCTATCTGTGCTTTAATCCAGGCAGACCGAGACCTGACAAGATCACACTGCAATGAATGGAAAAAGCTGAAAACAAACAAACAAAATAGCTACAAAGAAACACATTAGTCCATAAATTCAGAATAATTAAGACAAAACTTTTTCATCATAGTCAATGATGCATTTTGGTTTTTTTGGAGAACTGACTAACTCATATCCGACATAGTATTCTATAACCAAGAGGAACATCAGCGGAGTGTGGTTGCCATTATTGGTTTTTCTTGCAAATTTTCCTGGTCAGTGCTCTTTCTAATAATATTTGTTCCCTGGTCAGGAGCTTTTCCAGGATTCCCACACCCAATTCCTGGCCACAGAGATGGGCTTATAATCTAGGTCTAGGTCAGGCTAACCATAGTACCCATTTACACAACTGTTCCAAAGTTTGGTTAGGTGTCCCAGGCTGTGCTAATCAGGATCCACTGAGTTCTCAATGTACAGTGGGGGTGTGACCCAGCCACTGGGACACCACACAGGAAGGCAAGATGTGAAGGCAGACCAGTGGAAGCTCTTTCCCACCGTCCGGAGAAAGCCTGCCTGCAGAAGAGAATGGAGCAGAGAGAAGCGGAAACTAGGACTGGGCATAGAGAGAACCCTGGGGCATTAAATCTGGGTTCCAATTCCTGAAGCTATCGATTCTCCAGCGTCTTTTCTTGCTCCCAGGACTAATAAATCCCCCTTTTTGGCTTATGCCGTCTTGAATGGGTTTCTAACATATGAATCTAGAATTCCAACATAGAATATAAAATCAACAAATTCCACCTATCATTTCAGAGACAAGAAAACTGAGATGAACTTTCCCAAGGCCACACAACATGACTGAATTATTTCTTTGCTCTTCAGTGTATGGCCTGCTGCCCCTCAAGAAAAAGCTGAAACTTTGAGTTAGTGGCGACTGTGTTTAACAACCCCGGCACGTTCATAACTGGTCCCAAGCAGACTTGTGAGTGACTGGGGAAGCCGTGTCAGTTCCCAGGGCTGAGAACACACCCTTCCGGAATCTGGGGCTGCAGCTCGGTTAGCCGAGTGTAGATGCATTGATAACTGCTCCACCAGATGTTCTCTATTGAACCAAGGCCCAAAAGATGCAACTTCAACACTGAATGATCAAAGAAGTTGAGTGTAGTAATTAAGAAACAAAAAATTAGGTTGATGGTCCTCATTCTTCTCACTGTCATAGCTTCTTATACCTTTACCTTCTGCCTTATGACTTCAGTGCTTCCCACTGTGGGTGGTCACCTCCCATCCAACCAACACTGGGCATGCTCAAAAGAGCTTGCTCTCATGAATACAGTTAGAGGGTATTATGATGCCCACATGGTTTGGCTTCTCTTCTTGGGATTCTGCTGCTTGTTACAAGTGGAAATCTGCATAACTTAAAATGAAAATTTACCTATTTTTTTGAATAAGCAATATTTGCACATGCTATAAAATTCCAAAGGTAGCAAAGGGTATACAACCTGGGTCCCCTCCCCAAAGGAAGCCATTTCCTATGTAACCTTCTAGGGAAACTTGATCTATACACAAGGGAAGTCAGATAGCAGTTTTTCTTAGAGTCGGAACCCAGGGCAGGAAGGTAGGGGCTTCTGCATAATGCTGAGAAAAATCTGACTCTCTTGTTTGAAGTTACTTTATAATCTGAGGGACCCGCTTTTGGAGGCAGACCGATAAAGGACTTACTGTTGACCAACCACTAGTCTACAAAGGCACTTTCTCATTTAAAACTCTTGAAAATGTACTGTTTACAAAATGTTCTTGACGTTAGGGTGCATCTGGAAAAGCAGATAGGAAGCTGCTTCCTGGCTGAAGCAGGTAGCAAACAGTCACACTCGTGATTTGTCTGCGCCACGGGCAGACTGCTTGTTCCCTTTCAGAGACGGCTCATTCCGATTAAAACCAAACACTTGAAGAACATGGTGATAGTTTTCACCTACTGACAGCAATATGCAAGTTAACTGTTTTCTCATTTTAACTTATTTGGGACTCAAACTGACTTTAAAAATTGAACTGAAATGGTAAATTACATATTTAATTTTAATTAATTTGTACCAGATTGATATTTTCATCTGCAAAAATGTTTAAACCTTTAATTTTCTCCTCAAAGCATAATGAAATGAGCAAAAAAACCATTGATCAATATAAAAATTTATTTACAAAACTTAATTATTTTGCTTTTAAAAAACAATTATTCAATTCACAAAGATTAACCAAAACATAAACCCTGTCAACATTTATTATAATCTTTCACAGAATCAATAGCTTGAAAGAGAAAAAGACTGCCAATGAATACCTTAATGTAAAAATAGGAACTTTAATTTTAGTGGACAGAATACAAACAGATAAATAATCTTCTTCAATGGGGAAAAGCCGGTATAATGTGTAGTGCAGGAAATGTAAACATCAGTTTAGCTCCTCATTGCCAACATGGCATTTATATCCCAGATGAGATTCCGTAACTGATCCATAATTTGCTTTAGCTGTTGATTCTTCTGCTTGAGTTTCTGTATAGAAACAAAAGAATTTGTCAAAAACGAAACATAGACCATGCCGTTAGAAGATTAAATGTCGTAAATTAGGATTGCAGACAGTTAAGCTAAGTGTTTCCTTCAGGCAGAAGATCTCATCCTTTTCTGGCCACAAATATTCACTAAAAGGCATACTGAGTTCTACCAGCCCACAGAGGCCTGGCTCCAGCCTCCACTTCCCTTTACCTGTCTACTTCCGCTTTCAAAGAAAATAAACTAAATATTTAATTGTTATAAAACCAGAGTATATAGGTTTCCCAAGAGGCAGTGTAACAAAATGGTCAAGAGCACCATCTGCAGAGCCAGACTCGGGCCTGCGCTGCGCTGCTGCCCCGAACGTGTGGTGCTGGCTGCCAGCCTCTCGGCGCTCCGGTTTCCACAGCAGAAACACGAGGGTAACAACGGAACCTGCCTCGGAAGAACTGATACGAGGACTAGAATTGTCGATGTAGGAAATAAAGCATAATAAAAATACAATGCCTGATGCCACTGGTCTTTCAGAAACGTGGCAGAAGTCACTGTTTGCCTAAACATGAAGCAATCTACTTCTAATTCTGAAAACCGAAGACCAAATGGCCCATCCCCAATGTACCATCAACCACTCAGATTTGCTGGCTGCCTGTATCTCTGTGTCTGGGTTTCCACCAGGCTACAGTTTATAACCTTTTTTTTTTTTATCCTCACCTGAGGACATTTTTGCATTTATCTTCAGATAGAGCAGGAGGGAGAGAGAGAGGGAGAGAGACAAACATCAACGTGAGAGAGACACATCAAGTGGTTGCCACCCACATGACCCCAACTGGGTCCAGGGACAAACTGCAACCGAGGTACGTGCCCTTAGCGGGAACCGAACCCGGGACTCACCGGTCTGCGGGCTGACACTCTAACTGCTGAGCCAAACCGGCCAGAGCAATATAAACTTATCTTTAAGTATCCTTTCCTCAAACCCTATGTAGAAAATGTCTGCTTAGGTAAAACAAGATGAAGATAGAGAACTTCTGCTCAAAGTGTTCAGTAGCTATAATAATAATAAACATTACTGTTCAATAACCATTTGGAAATATATTTACTTAGATAATTTTAAAGAAACTATATTAAAACACCTCCATGTAAAGTAGTACATGTTCATTAAAAAGAGGCCTAAAAATCTAAATTTTGATTTCATTAAAGAACAAATCAAGATTCACTAAATTACTTATATTACTTAGGGAAAAGGGAAGACCAAGAATTCTTATTAGAAAACAGAAAAGCAACTTACAGAGACTTCAATGTTTCATATTAATTAAATTTAACTTGTATTTGAAAACAGAATTAGTCAGATACAACATATGACCATACAGTACATAGTACCATAAAGCTCCCTTAAACAGTTTTTGGGGAAAAGACTATTAGTATTTTAGTTAGTCTCCCTGTTCAGTTTTCGGGTGGCCCACCTTCTACGTTCTATTGTCATAGTACGTGGCAGATGTTTCGGCAAACTGAGCATATCATCTAAGCACATGGACCCAGACAGAGGCCAGAGCGGCGGGTTCATCCCAGAGGCCACGCGGCGAAGCGGCAGCGTGAAGAGGCTGTGACGGAGAAAGGCGTCTCCTGGGAAGCGGGAGACCCGTCTCAGTTCTCAGGTTGCCTCTAACTTACTGTTTGGTCAAAGACAAATCCTTATCCTCAGTTCTCTTGCCTATGAAAGGGGATTGTATCCTCTATTAGGCCCCTGCCAGTTCTCCTTTTCTGTCCATGCACACATAAGATGACTATCAGTTACAGACCCACTAATGAGCAACAGTAAGTTTAGTCCCGTGAACTAATTAATAGCGTCCAGCGGTTCCACGTCAGCGGCCTCCGGAGCCGCACTCCCCTCCCGTGGGACTGAGCCGCCCGGCTCCCCTCAGGCCAGGCGGAGAACAGCTGCTGAGTTAGAGCAAAAGGAAGAGAGAGACTGCAAGTTGGGTTTTTTTAAACATCTTATTGGAATTGGTACCTTCTGACATATTTTGAACACTTTTAAGTTTCAGAACTTCTCATTGGAACAGAATTCTGAGCCTGTAACACATTCTGTTCCATAACTACTGGCTCTGGGTTAGGCATTGAAGGAAGAAAAAGGAATGAGAAACATCCGCTGCCTTGAAGAACTTCAACATCAAGTAGGAGGAAGATCATGCCCAAATGACTAGGCTACAGCCTGGTTAGGTAGATGGCAGAGGAAAGAGACGAGACGCTGGCGAACCCAAACATAGCCACTGCCTCCTGTAGGGGCAGAAACAAGGAAAACATTTTTTTTTTTTATCCTCACCTGAGGACATTTTTCCATTTTTTGTTCAGGTAGAGTGGGAGGGAGAGAGAGGAACAGAGAGAGAGTGAGAAACATCGACGTGAAAGGGACACATTGAGTGGCTGCCACCCGCAAGACCAACCAGGGCCAGGGACAAACTGCAACCGAGGTACGCGCCCTTAGCAGGAACCGAACCCGGGTCTCAGGACCGCAGGCCAATGTCCTAACCGCTGAACCAAACTGGCCAGGGCATGGAAAACATTTTTGTTTGGGGTCTTGAAAAACCTGGAGTGAGCAGAGGGTGAAAGGAGGGTGAATTGAGGCTGGGTAGTGAGTGATGGGACCCACTGACTTTCTTGAAGAAGAAATGTGATTTAAACTGCAATGAAAAAGTGAGCTGGGCAACCGTGTGGGATGGAGTCTCCTACAGAACGTCAATGGTGACAAATGAGTTCATGAAAAAAGGAGGCAGAGGAAGGATTTAATTTTGGTAACAGTTGAAAACCATTCAAAGGCCAACTCGGATGAAAGAAACTCAGTGGTCACAATTTCAATATAAATCAAGGAGTAATTGGAAGTGATAAAATTATATTCCTGGGTGGTTAAGAACAGACTTTAGCCCTGACCGGTGTGGCTCAGTTGGTTGAGCATTGTCCCATGCACCAAAAGGTGGCGGGTTTGACTCCTGGTCAGGGCACATAATGGAGGCAACCAGCCGATGTTTCTCTTTCTCTTTCTGCCCTTCTCCTTTCCTCTCACTCTAAAATCAATAAAAACATTTAAAAAATAGACTTTAAAATCAGTATCAAAACAGTGGTTACATGTGGCTTCCATAATGTTGCATCACTGGAATCAATGCACAGCTTACCAACATGACTACTTTTAAGAACACACATTTGGAAATATAAATTCGGGTATACTTGTTTAAAAAAAAATTGGCCTCGTTAATTCTTTAAAAATAGTGTAAGAGAATTTTAAAATGTGTATTTCCATAGTAATATTCCACTATAGACAATAGCAAAAAAAATGACATGGACAACAGTGTGGTAATTTCGGGGTGAGGGGAGGGGTGCAGGAAGGTGAAAGAGGGTATGTGGGGATAAATGGAAAAAACCCCAGCAAAAACAGTTTTTTTTAAGTATGATATATAGGGTGGGCAAAAGTAGGTTTATAGTTGTTCATATGGAAAATAATATAATAATTAATAGATAATAATATAAGAATAAACTTCCACGTACTCACAACCGCAATCCTACTTTTGTTCCACGTGTATTATAAGGCACTTGGATAGTTTTTCTCAAAGATGTCACAAAGTTTTAAATTTAAAAATTCAGCATACATGTAAACTACCTAGAGCCAAACAAAACACACCCTGAAACTATCAAGAGGAACGCTGACAGCTCTGTTAGTGGTTATACTGTAAATAAATTTTCATGATGTGATAGAGGATTTAATATATATAATCTGGACACTGATCGATTTAACAGAGGTTGACAGTTGCTGTTATCAAAACCCATCAGCTGTGCCTAATTTGTTACACTAACAGGTGAATGTTAAGCACAGCAGATATTTTTAAAAAATAGGTTTATGCTAAGTCACGCCATGTAACTTAATATTCATACAAAGGCTGTGACAATTGGTCAAAATGTTTTAATTTCTAAATGCATGGACTGAGTTATGTCAACCCTATAAAAAACTACCCACATTATCTTTCAATTTCATTTTACCATCAACAGAATAGTTCTAAGCAAAACAGAACCCATTCTTGATGTTCTTTAAACGTATAGTCTCGGACACTTGTTTGGGTATTCGGGCTTATGGATTCCAGAATATGAAAAGTATTTAAATGAGACAAAAACTCGATGATTGAAACTAAGCCATTTTGTCTTCTGATGATTTACAGTAAATGTTGATTACAACTGTCACATTCCAAAGCTTCATGGCATTATCGTAGTCACATTAGGTGGTCAGAAAGCAGACATATCACCCTGGGCAGTTTGTATTTCTTTTGATGAAGCTACTGACACATGTACTTTACCAACAAGGCAGTAAACCAAGAAAGAGGAAGATATGAGAGGGAGGAAAGAGTGAAACCAAAAGGAGAGGTTAGGGCTTATGAGGCTGAAGAAAACCCAATAACGTAGCTAAACAGCAGGCCCAGACTTAGCAAAAAGACAAGATTTTAGGATGAAAAAACAACCAATAAATTGCTGGATAACTTTGACTTTGTGGAAAGTTGGAACAGTCCTGAGATGCTGCCACAAATTCATAAAGAAATCATCAAATTTGTTAAAAACTACAAGAGTTAATCATTAACTTTAGGAAAACAAAAACTGTTCAGCCAAGGAAATGTAACTCTAGTTTACTAAGTGGCTTAGCTATAAATAATATTTATGTATCATAATAAATAATATGAACACAGAATTATTTATCGAGCCCCAATTATGACATAACTGCACTGGAAGGATCGAGAAAGGGAAAGTATTCACTTGGGTCCAGGAGAAAGAGAGTGTATGAGAACTAAATTCTCATGTGGAAAAAGTAATTCTTGTTACATTATATCATTTATATCAGTTATACCTTCACTTAAAATTTACAAAATTCTATCATCTAAAGCTAATAAGATTTTTAAAATCTAAATATATTGAGGTAAACTGGTTAATGACATATAATTTTCAGGTGTACAACATTGTAACTCACTGTA